AACTAACAACCACTCAAGATTCACAAACTCTCAAACCGAGTCGAACATTAAGGATCAACAAACACCCATTATCACTTCTGAAAGAGCTGGCTAAAACGAGAGGAAGTATATAGAGCTCCTAGGCTTTTGGTTCAGTCGTAAGAGCCATCTATCTATTGATACACCGCCGATGACGAGTATATAATAGAGAAGGATACATATCAGCCGCTGTTGCAAACACCTCTCTCTCCTTTTCCCTTCTTCTCACACGATATAAACAGTACCACACCACACCGCGCAAGGCCCAATGATCTCACAAAAAGTAACAATGATCTATCTATGAATCTATCTATACCACGTCTCAAACTCAACCCTTCAATCCACCCATCCCATCAAATAAACCTCCGAATTTCTCCATAAACATGTACTACATACAGTACAATACAATACAGCCTTCGCCGAACCCCTTCCTTTTCACGCATTGTATAAAGTCCTCTAAAAATATATTTCTAAAAAGTGTAGTAGTAACGAAGCTAACCTCCCGCCCCCCAAAATTGAAGTCATATCATGAGCATGCGTTGTTTCTCCTGAAGATCATCACGCCTACCCAGGAAGAACATGATATTAACAAAACATAAAGAAAAACATAAGAGGTGGGAATCTAGTGTCTGATCTTGAATCAGAAAAATTGATGCATGCATGTAACATCATCCCAAACTCCATCCCTAAGGATCCAATGTACCATCGACCCTTGTATCTAATTTTGACAATCCCAATTGTCCCTCCAACCTGCCAATAACACCGAAATTTCAAGGTCCAAATCCCAGAAAATTGTCATTGTCATTACGCCTACTTCCTGAACAAATCTTTCAACTCTTCCAATCTCCTAATCGACGCTTCCTTTTTATCCAACCTTCCCTTCTGGGAATCCATACTCAAGCTCGCCAGCTTTTGCTTCTTGTCTTGAATATGCAACATTTTCTCCTCAAAACTCTTATTCATAATAAATCGTACTGTCTGTACCTCTCTCTTTTGACCCAATCGATGTACACGATCAATAGCTTGAGCTTCAGCTGCAGGGTTGAATTGAGGTTCCATGACATAGACCTTATTAGCTGTGGTGAGATTAAGACCGAGGCCACCTGCAGCGATGGAAACTAGAATAACAACGATTGATGGATCATCGCGAAATTTCTCCATTGCCATTGAGCGAGCGATACGAGTCATTTTACCATCGAGACGTGTGTAAGGAATATTATTCTCCTGCAAAGCGAGTTGAATAAGGTCAAGATGAGTTGTCCAGCCAGAAAAGACAACACTTTTGATGGGTGGCTCGTTCGGTCTTGCTTGTGATTCCCTTCTAGATGCCAAAAGATCATGGATTAAAGCTATTGTCTTAGTATGAGGTCCACTATAATTTGATAAATCCTTGCCTGCTTTTGCCGATTCCTTGGTTTTCAATCGGGATTCTTCTTCCTTGTCTACTTCCTCCTGTTTCAGAGAAAAGAACATAGATGGAGAGATTTGTTGGTGACAAGTAGGACATCCGACTAAAGAACCACCAAAGGCCATCTCTTCCAATTGAGCTTTGTAAGCACCAATGCACAAGCCACAAATGATGTGGAAACATGGTGTCATGTATCCAATAACTTCTTCCTTAGATTCGCCATCAGAATCGACAACATCCTGAGAGCCAATTTTCCGATTGCATGTCAAGCAACTATCCGTACCCGTATCTCTCATCAACTTATACATTTCATAAGCCTGTTTGGGTGTCATCCCATCTTGATCTTCGTATTCTTCACTATCAAGATCGATAGCGGAGTCCTTGCTTAGACCGTTCATGATTTTCAAGTCCTCGGGACTCAATAAATCCTTGCCATGAGCGCAGACTTGACGAAGACGCAATATTGATTGCAAAATGTGATGAAAGGTTTTGCCTCCTAATGCGCTTTCTCCCTGAGAAGTGATAACTTTAAGCCTATCTGTTGCATTCTTTTCAAAGATATCATATACCATACGCTCCTCATCACTGAAATCTAGCCTAGCAATCTGATCATGACGCTTAGGAAGGTCAATTTTGTCTTTGAGTCGACGAAGAGTAATACTGTCGACTAACAATCGAAGTTTGGGAATGATTTCAGGATCGCAAATCTTGAAAGGGGATAGTATATGTTGGGCAAATCCACTTCCGTTAAATGGTTTGACGCGAAGGAAATTCATCAAAGCACCTAAGTCCTCAAGTCGATTCTGAACTGGTGTACCTGTGCATGCCCATCGACGCTGTGCTGAAAGCCTACAAATAGCCTTAAACTGCAAAGTTGATTGTTCCCGAATCATATGAGCTTCGTCGAGTACAATTCGAAACCAATTCATCTCCTCGAGAGGATATTTACCGTCTTTCTTTTTGTTCCTGTTATTGCATTCGCTAGCGACAGAACCATATGTAGTAATGACCATATCATACTCTGACAATTTTGTAACATCCTTGATACGATTAGCGCCATGATAGATATAATACTTCAAAGCATCGGGTTTGATATGTGCCTTGATCTGGTCTTCCCAATTGGAAATGACACTGAGCGGAGCAACTAAAAGAGTAGTTTTGCAGTTCAAAGCGAGAGTTGCGGGTTCAAACTTGGGCTGAGCGGCAGCCTTGCCTGATTTGAGAACTGGCTGCTCTCTCTGATCGGATTGTGATGGTCTTTGCTTCGCCCAGTCTCTTGAATCGTCCAGTGTTGTAGCTACCAAGGAGAGAATGCTGAGAGTTTTGCCAAGTCCCATCATATCGGCAAGAATTCCACCAAGTACCTGTGGTGGACTTTTACGTTCCTCATCACCGGTTATAACATTGTAATATATCCTCTGCCCATTATTCCCATGTCTAAGTTTCCACAAATCGCATTTATCATTTATCTCATAATTTCGTTCCTTTTCTCTATTTATCATGAAGTAGAGACCCTGTTTTTGATGTTTGAGCAGCTCCGTAGTAATCAAAGAACTTGGCTCCATCTCTGGTAAATTCTCAGATCTCGGCAATGAGTCGAAAACTCCCAAAACGTCATTTCGGATTTCTTCTGTTGTCCGAACGGGGGCCTGAGAACGAGATGCGTAAGACGAGTATGTACTAGATGTGGGCTGTAAGGCCCTTGAAGGCTTTTCTATAGCATGAGGATTGTGCAATGGAATGCCGGCTTCTACAGAAAGTGGGGTTCGTAACCACAATTGCTTGTGAGAGAGGTGCCGACCAATTTGAAGAGCGTGCTTTTTTGGTCCGTAAAGATTCAAATCCAAATTATAACGAACACTGCATGGGGAACCCACTGGCTGATCATCAGGCGCCTTTCTTCTTGTAAGAATACGGGCAGCTGTTCTGACACCCATTTTTGGGGAGTCGAGGATGGGTGCGAGTCCAATTGCAGTATTCACATCGACACAGCCAATAATTTCGCGAGTACAATCGAGAGCGTGGATATTATTCGTCTTATCCCCTTCCTTCCTTCTCAAGACAATCTTTATCTGCGGCCAGTTCTCGGGTATAAGTGATTGGGCTCCAGGTTTTGGGGTTGGTACTCGATGAGCGTTGAGTTGAGATCCTTCAATACGTCCGTAGCAAACTTCCCTATCCTGCTCATTCCCGACGACTACAACATCATCGTCATCCACTAAAGATAAGTCGAGTACCTGTTTGGTACAACCATCGTTCGAGCCTTCAACTCTCCTGTTTTTCACATATTGTCCGTATGCACCTCCACTAGAACTTCCATTAAATTGCGCTCTGCTTCCCTCCCCGGTCAAGTCTTCTACTCTTCGGCGTTTTTGAGGTACCATGTCGCGATCTGTAATATTATGCATTCGATCCACAAAACTTCCCATGCCCGGCATCTTCCCACTTGGGTTCGCGTATGATGCAAAGCCATTCTGGCCATTCGAGTTCGAGTTCACGTTATAATTCGAGTTCGAGGGAGGTGACGGCGTATACGATCCGCCGGGGGTGTCGAACTGAAATAGAGGCTGAGAAGCAGATGCTGCTGGTGGAATTCTTGGTCGGGGATGAGGTGATAAACTGGGCGAGGGTCGTGAGTTTTGATTAATGCTTCGAGGATTTAGCAGTTGCGCGGGACTCCAATTTTGGGCATTTGTGGCATGACCGTTCGAAAGTGGTATACCGGGACTGTTCTCATTTTGATTCGGTCTTGATCTTGGAGGGTTTTGGCCTTGTGTGACAGAGTGATTGTAAGTAACAGAGAGATTGCAAGTAACAGAGAGATTGCAAGTAACAGATTTATCAAAATCGGTAGGGTAATTTGGGTGTAGGTCTGAACTTCCAGATTGTTTGCCTTGGTGTGTATGTAGGGACTCTCCGTTTGCGAGGATTGGGAAATTACCAGAGAAGTTGTTATTCATTGAGGCCATAATTCTCCTTTATGGCAGATAACCTTGAATATTCGTCACGGTCGCATGCATTAAGTTGTGTGTCGTATGTACTGTGTGTGTGTATGGTTATGATGTGGTTGTAATGGTAGGTAGGTAGTTGTAAATCGAGCCGATAAATTCACAGGAGGGGCAATATTTATCACTAGGGAGGATTGTGCAAAAGTAAGTAGGAAAAAGAAAAAGTCGATGAAACTAAAATCATCGGAATGTGATCATTCTGTTTGATCTTCGTATATTCACTGAGTTTTTTTGAGTTTCGTGAATACCTAGGTATTGATAGAATTTCTTATGTGTGAATGAGTAATGAATTTATTATTATATAGGTATCGTAGGTAGGTGAAAGTACGAAGGAGAGCAGACGTATGGATATGTACGGAGTAGGGATGTGGGAGAGAGAGGAGGCACAGCGATAGATGTGATAGAAAATTTCCGTGAGTCTTTGGGTACAAAGCAATTAGTAAGCAACGATATATCATTTTTAATAGGAAAGGTTTTCAAGTTAATTACCTAGATAGGTATGTAGGTATTTGATAGAAAAACAGATACCTAATTAAGTAGCTTTCAATCATATGAGAGTTAAGATTCTACCTAGGTAGGTAGTCTCAGCGCACTAATGTCATCGTTCACGTGCATAAACATGCTAATACATCGCCATCTCCCATTCTCATGCCCCCGGTCATTCATGTTCCCATCCTTAAATCACCTTCATCATAATCAAAAGAAGACTAAATATGACTGTAGTCGAGTTATCTAACTAGATTATCAAGTATTCATTTCTCACGTCTTCGGTAAGTCACGTGACTCCTCGCCGGCCTCCGAGAACTTGGTCGCCTAGTTCCCAGTTAGTAAAGGCGAGTGTCCCTTTACTTACCTAGGATTGTATTACCTTCAAAATCAAATTATTAGAAACTACTAGGTATACTAATAGATATGTCACTCTCATCGAGCTAATTACAATGACATGAAGGTTATTATTCTAGCTCAACTCCGAACTCCTCATGGACTTGATACCAATGTTACGGAACACTCGCTTAGGACGCTCGCTTTCACTAACTGGGAACCAGTCGGCGTTAACAAAAGCCGACTTCGACATGAAGGTTTCGATGAGATGATCCAGAGCCTTAGAAGTTAGGAAGGCCGGATTTTAATACTAGTGGTGGATAGCGTTTGTAACCTCAGAACCTCAATGATATCTTTCTGAAAATTCGTTGCCGAATTCTCTTTCAAATCGCGATGAGCTGAATTCGACACCTGTTCGTTCCCCTGGAGTCAAATTCAAAAAGCAGTCGCCCTTTATATATTTGCTAAGCTCTGTACTTGAAGAGCAAGATATAAGCAGCTTAGAGATCGCTCGCATATCGGTCGCCTCTCGAAGCTCTAAACAAGAATCCACCACCAGTTCCATATCTTTGAAATGAGGGCCACGATGATCACAGTAAAAATCTATGCCATCAATGATACAGAACAAGGTTACTTCTCTTTCCAAATCTTGCACTAGAGTCTTGAAAAGCCATCGGAGCGCGTTAAGATTGTTTGCCTTAATCTGCTCGATGTCATCAAGACTTAGGAATTTCAAATCGAACTGGTCCTGTGAAAGTAATTGCGCGAGAAAGCTCTTGATCATTGAAATGCCTCCGGAATAGGGGTCGTATGATCGTGTATGAGATCCGCAGAAGAAGAAGACGGTACGGAAGCGGTCCATACTGATCAAATTCTTGATCAACAGGGAGCAGAAGAAAGTAAGAGGAGATGTCGGCTCGGATAATCCATTCCCATGGATGAGAAGCTCTCTAGATACTGGGTTGACTAGCCATTGTCTAAACTGTGAAGATTTTGTGATAAGTTCGGGCAACTCTTGGCCTGCTATTTCAAACTGCTGCTTAGATCTGAAGGCGTGCGCTAGATCTTGGTTGGTTTGTTGAATATAGCTTTCTGACACACCACTCATCAGTGGTATATCGAGCAGCCTTTGTAATTCTTCTTGGGAGATATGGTGCTCTTGAGGCAATGGCGGCCCTTGTTGAGGAGGTACCGTGGCAACGACTTCCTGCAAAACCCTTATAGTTCCCGAGAAAACACCAACGATAGGGGAGATCTTGTTCAGGAGTATACCACCTCGAGTGAGCGTGGAACGAGGACAGCTCAATACCTCAGTCAGCCTCATCAAGGCCCGCAAGCCTGGTCTACCCCGGATAGAATGGAGAGAAATGATAGTTCCAACTATGAAAGCTATCCTTCGGGTCCAAGCACATTTGGGATGGAGAGGCGATGATTCTATCCGGAGAAAAAATATGAAAATCAGTCGGGGCTTTCTAGTAGGGGGGTTGATGACCAGAGAACGAATGCTGGAGGATTTCAAAACGCAACCAGTCAAGGTTAATTGCCACTACACTCTCTTGCTAGCCTAGTTTACAAAGCTACATGAATACAGCTTAATTCTCCATTTCTTTTTCAAATCCTTTCTTTTCGCTAGTGAAATGAGCTCCCTCGTTTTAAATACCCTTCCGCATGGTTTTCTGTTTGTAAGTATTTGAGTAGCATCTAACAATCCATTCAGTAAACTGCTGTTAACCTGTCCTAATTCATTCTCGCTATAACTACCCAGACATTCTACCTCCTACTTCCCACTTCTTACTTCCTACTTCCTCTCTCGTACACCACAAAAAGCGCATCAACAAGCCATCCTCATTACTTCTTTCCCTTTTTCTTCTCCTTTCCTTTTCCTCCGAGTTCCCTTCTACACATACACACCATCACCACCCAAACAAACATCTCTTACTACCTATTTAAGAAATTCCCAGACACCTAACCACCTACCTACCCAACCACCTACCCCTAAAACCCCGCCATTCCAAAACTCACAACCTCACAACCTCACCAACCCACAAACCCAGAAAAAAAGTCAAAGAACAGGATTTTCACACCATTCCCACTCCATATCCAATTCGAGGAGAAATACGAACAAAGATAATAGCTTAGAACTACTTGATACTACTTGATAATCAATAAATTCCATTCACCATCTCATCATGATCTATTTTTCATTTCCGCCAGCCTAATCAACTTCGAACTTACAGGTTTATCAAATAACAATAATAACAATAACGGAGTATCAATATCAACATCAACATCAATCAATCTAATAAGACTTCCCTACAAAACTTCAGATACCTAGGTAGTCATGATTTGCCGAAAAGGGGGAGGGGAAAAGAATAACACAATAATCTTGATGTTTCAAATATATTTCATTCATTGTAAGCGAACGGCATACCAACCAATTTCATAAAAATCATGCTACCCCCTTGTCCCATATGATTACTGCCCCGAAGATGTCTATCTCCAGACTATTTTGACGCCCATTTGCAAAAAAAATAAAAATCATGCGCCGCCTTCCGAGAGATAATATACATATTCGTACTCATTTATGCCTTTGCGGATCATCATTCCTTTTCCCCATTAACACCATGTAAAGACGGGGTTTTTGCTTTTGACTGTTTCAAGTCTCTCTACTATAACCTTCCTTTGATTACCCTCCATTCCTTCAGCTGCTGCATATCCCAAGTCCCCTTCAAGATCATCACCATCATACAATGTCTGAACAGCTCCACGACTCCTCGAGCTAAATGAGAATCTTCTCGATTCAAAATGGTTGCCGTTTGGTGACCTTGCAGGCCCATCATAACTCATACGATTTCTAGAATGTTGAAGGTGTGGTCGATCTGAGAATCTCACTCCATCCTTGGAAGTATTATCTCGAGAGAATCCTGTATTTGCAAATGTTGGCTCAGAAGACTCGAGGTCGGGGGAAGGCTCTTCGCTATATCGTGGACTAGCTAACTCGAAGCGGTTTGGATTTGGTAATTCTGTAGATGGACTTGCAAGTCCAAGAAGATCTGGTTGCGGTGCTGGCGCATTGGCGGCACTGATATCCATTTCTTCATCAAGGCTGTTGCGAGCCTCATTACGTCTTCGCATTTCTGCAGAAGGCACCCTCATAGGGACCGCAACAGGTATATCAACAAGATCATCCCAAACACAAACTCTTGGCCTTCGAGTCAACTCTAAAGGACCGTGATCTACCGTTTTGAGGGTTTCGACGACATTCCAAGCTTGTCCTTTCATAACAGCAATTTGTCTAGCGAACATGCGTTCTTGAAAATCCGCATCTTGACTGAATACCTTTCTCAACTCTAGCTGAGTCTCGCTCCACCATTGCTTCGAAGTCAGCAAGGGAAGAAAGTGTTCTCGAGTTTTTTGAGAAAATGGTTGTCCAATCAGTGATACAGGTAAGAACAACCATCCAAAGGGAAAACTTCGCCAAGCATCAGGATGCTTCCAAGGCCACGATAAACTATTATCAATCGCACCAATAGATATGGTTGGTGCTGCCATTCTAGATGGTGTAGCCGATCTACTTGTAGCTTCCATAGGCTCTTGACTACGGTAGGGATATGCCGGTAGATGAGACATATTGATGTTATCAGAGCTAGAAACCACTCGTGGTGCCTGTTCTGAGTCTGGATTGGTCCTCATTTGAGGAGGGTCTGAAACGATAGAAACGCCCTGATTTTCCCAGTCGATTTTGATCATCCAATTATCAAGGCCTCTGTCCGTATTTCGCATTATATAATCTAATATAACCAATTTCTCCAACTCCTCTCGAAATGATTGTTGTAATGCATCTGTCCAAGCAAAACGTCGATTTTGATTACCATCTCCAGATCCGGTAGGACTGCTAGCCCCTGCCCCTTCGTTACCCTCGTCTGACTTTGATGAACCTGGACGGCAAGTCTCTTTCCACCCTCTTTTGTTTCTGTGAGTATCGTTCATTCTAAATGCTCCATTTGCATGATCTGGCCAAGGGTGTTCACGGAGAAAGATATTCGCGTCCTTGAAACCTTTGAGGAAGACTTGGAAACTGCCAACCTTTGGAGGTAGAGACTTTTTACTCCTGTAAAACTTCCTTCGATCCCAAAAATCATAATGAAAAGACTTCGAAGATAAGTGAACTATGTCGGTGTAGGGCACAAGGTGAGTTCGTAATCTGCAGTCAAGCGTGTATGCTGCAGCTTCGGAGACATAACTCAAATTGGGAATCAGACATGCTCTGCCAAAGAAGCATGGAAATAGATTGCGATGAATCCATTTATTCCATTTCGGATTTCCTGCGGCGTACGGTTCCTCATCCTTCGGTTTGAACACACCGACTACTTTTCCATCACTATTTCGAGCAAAATAACTTCCAGAACTACCCTGAGATATCATTTTCGGATGCATACCCTGCTCAATCGCAACTCGAACACTTTCAACAACCTCCTCAAATTCCGATTTAGTCATTCGTCCATGATCAGGCTCCGATGCCAAAGTATCAGCAGTAACGGGTCGCATGCCTTCCGGTGCTTGAAATACTGAGTGCTGGATTTCCAATTTTTCCTCCTGATGTGATTTCCCTTTTACTTTATTGATTTTAAACTTGGACGCTATCTCGTCGGCCCATCGTTCCAATCTAGCATTTATAGCTTTGATGTCCACACCGGAGGCATTGCTTCCCATACGACTTCGCCTTCTCGTATGCCCAAACTTTCGATTATTTGTGGGTGAACTGTATCCATCTGTATACATTCCACCATGCGGTCGAGGTTGTGAAATAGAGGCATATCGTGGTGCGGTTGCTGGTTGTAAGGAAGCATGGCTGGCAGCGAGGGGGTCCTCATCTTCGTCATCGCTGAACTCTTCGGCTTGGGCAATTTGGGCATAACCCGTGGTAGCTGGTCGAAATCTTGGCATATTAAGTATGATATTTAATTAGTATTGAAGTCGCCATGAAGTAGAATTGTTTATTTATGGTTATGAGGCATTTCCAGGAGCGGTGGAACTAAGCATGTTACAAGCTCTAGATTCACAACATGCCAGGTAGTCACCGTGGCCCCGGGTCGCGTCACTTATCAATATCCTTATCCAATCAAAAGGGTGGAGAACACAAGGCTGAAAGATTTATCCCCAAAGATGTCAAATCATGAAGAAACACGACGATTGATGATAAACTTGTGTCGATTGATATTCAGTACTAGGTACACTACTCGAGTAGTAGGTATAATTATCTGGACTGGATACCTATTCAATGTCAAATGGAGTCAATTGGATTGAACACCATACCATCAATCCAGACATTGTAACGATGATTGAGTTGAATTGATTTCTATGATCTTGAGGCTTTGCGAATTTGATATCTTCTCGTACAATTGAGACATTGGCCAACGCCCTTACGATGCTGCCATAATCTCCTTTACTATCTTTGCGACCTCCCCCTTTTCTACATTCTTTTCTCCCAATACTTCAGGAGCAAATACTCTCTTCAACACATCTCCCATTTGCATCTTTGCTCCCTCGGCTTTCATGCCATTGACAAGATCCTTGACTGTATTTCTGATCTCTTCCTCACCAACCGTCTCAACACCACTAGCATATTCTTCCAAGACCTTCAATTGTTGTTCTTCCTTCTCAACGAGGTCTTCTCTACCTGCTGCCTTGAATTCTTCACTTGCAGCTCGGCTGGCATTCGCAGTTTTTCGGAGAAGAGCCAACATTTGCATATCGGTATTGATAGGTGAGGAAGTTTTAGAGGCATTGAGTGTTTGACTGAGGAGTGATCGAAGGACTGAGAGTCGATTGCTATCTTTATTTTTCATGGCAGTCTTCATGTCATTCCTATTACCAGACTAATATTAGTACAATTGCCCCCTCAAAATAAGAATAACGAACGGCATGTCGTGTGTACTGACCTGATCTTCAAGAGCATAGGCGGAGGGGTACTGGCAGAGCTTGCATAGCAGCGGCAGTAAATCCTCGAAGCTCTCACAGCTGGTCGTGAAAACATTGTCGATATGGGTGAGGGGATCTTTAGAATATAAAGAATTTGGTATAGAGAGCTTGCAAAAAGTGATTCCCGTCTGAAAATTGAAGGTATTTTGAATTTTTGATCCAAGTCCACTCACTGTCTGCGAAGAAAACGAGGCTCGCCAAATTTATTTTCCCCGATGCCTCATACATCACATAACACAACATTTGAATGAACGGACACCTACCTAGGTAGCTACGTCAATTGTATAGCACGACAGTTGTTTGTTACTTTGATACAAATAGATTTGGATTATAATTGTCTATCCAGTATGTTATCATGGATGTGAATATATAGTTAGTGCATACATTTTCGTGCGGACTATATTAACCCAAACATAAAGCCGTGAAACAAAACAGTTCTTTGATTCGTCAAAGTCCCCTTTTAGGTGATCGTCAACTTCCCCGCATCAACTCATCACATATGAAGAGGGAAGGTTGATCAGTTATCATATTATTGTTGTATATCTATTCGTACCTATCATGGTATTCTTTTCAAAACGAACAAGAAATCTCATCCGAACTACCTCGTACTAATAATTTGAAAGACCATAATTCGTTTGCTTATATCTAATTCAAAATATCTTAAATCGATTCCTTGCATGAACCCCCTTCTTCGAGATCCAACGTCCTACTACTTCAATATCAGAGCTCTGTCTGCTCTACATATTTGATCCTACCACCATACTTTGATATGTCTCTTGATACTGTGCCACTATATAATCAACATTGAACCACTAACATTTTGACGTTCGCTGGCACCAGTCACCATCAACTTATCGTTCAGCCTCTGACCTCCGACCACTCATAGAGAGACGGACGATCACTCTTTATGTAAAATCTCCCATGTATACTATATCTTCGAGTATTACTCAAGGAACAAACTAACAAAAGAACATAGTTGACTGACTACCCAACATCAATCACAATAGACGACTTTACCTCAAAAGCTCGAACCTTGCAAACTGGATCACCAGAACTGTATCGAGACAAACAAACAAACTCCTGACATACATACCATACCCATCCTCCACCTCCATCGTAAAAATGACACTTATTGACCCTCGCCCCGCAGCCCATCCACCTTCCAACGAACCGTCCCCTCAGCGCGGTCGTAAACGTCGCCGCTCTTCTGCTGCTTCTCCACCACCCATAATAACCAGTACATCCACGAATTTTCGAGGTCGAGTTCGTCATCGATCACCTCAGACATCTCACCCAACAACCTCTTCACCATTGCCAGTATCCTCACCCCTCAACCCCAAATCAACAAACGCAAACGCAACCATGACATCCCTTACATCCACAGCCCACAAAACCAAATACCAAAAGACTCACGCTACAGCAACGACAACGACCACGACTCCCTCCCCATCATCATCTCTTCTTCTTTGCTCTCCGCGCTCAAAGACCCGGAGAGGTCAATCACCCTCCCGCTCTCGTAGCAAGGGTCACTCAGCCGATAAGGAGATTCCAAGGAGAAGACAGAGAACAAGAAGTAGAAGTCGATCTCACAGGGTTGCGATTGATGAAAAGGATAGCAGCAAGGGAAAAATGAAAGCTTTATCCGGCACAGAAAGAGCTTGAGATATAGGAGACTTGGAGTTTCATTGATTTAATTCGCGGAAAGATACCCACTTGGAATTGACTAATGGAAGATAACGGATACGATGTGGCGGTTGATCGACCGAAGACGCAAGAAGAATTCTCACTCGAGATCTCTATGAATGCTACGCCCCGGAGTATCTGAAGAAAGTTTGGGTTTGGATTGGATGTATTGTTCGGGTACCAAGAATTTAGGAGTTCATTCCATTATGGGCTAGGGAGCAAGCACGTAGGCACTGGGCAGATAAGAGTTAGGCCTGAATGCATGAATTTTCTCTTCTCCAAGTATAACAATGGGCTCGTTCGCTCCATGAATAATAAATAAATACCAAGAGCAAATGCTCATCTTAAAATACATGCTATTTTTTTTATCGCATTGTACTACACACCATACATGCAAATAATATACACCAGCCAAGTTCTCTCTTCCACTTGTACTCTATCCTTAAATCCCATCCCATCCCATCCCATCCCATTCCACACAAACAAACAAAAAACCCAACCCAAAATCCCACCAACAAACCCCACCCATCCATCCATCCGTCCACTCCACTTCCACTTCCAACAAACACTCCACTCCACCCCACCCCACCCCATCCCATCCCGCCGTAAAATCCAAAATTTCCCATAAATATATATATCCTAATCCCTCCCTCCGCACCATCAAATAGGACAAACATCCTGTAACACAAAATCGGCCTCGGTGGCACAATTGGTTAGCGCGTGGGCCTTTTAAGCCCAAGGTTGAGGGTTCGAGCCCCTCCCGAGGCGAAGTTTTCTTTTGATTCTTTTTTGGGGGTGATTTGTGACATCTGTCGCCTGTTCATTGTTTTTTCCCCCATACTAGATGATAGGCGGATTTGCTACTCTTGATACCTAGGTATGAATACTAGGTAGATAGTTAGTGAATAAAATGAATGATTGAAATTTTGCAATTTTTTGGAAGAGTTTGGAAGGAAGGGCGAGGAAATGAGTGAGTGGATTCTTCTTCATGGATCGATGGTCTTGAGATAGGCCTGGTGGAGTTTTTGGATGAAGTGAGTGGGGTTTTGACCGAGAGGATGATGGAAAATCCCTACCACCGTTCTGGTTGTTGTATTGACACTGACATTTGCAACCTCAAATTGTCATCTGGTAAATGCGAGTTTGTTGGAGTCTTTCGGTGGCAGAAGTGTATTACTGGGACTCTAGTCGTTGGTTTGAATACCCAGCATATATCAGGGAGAAGTTCGAAACTATTCAAAAGACTGTTCTCGTTTTAGGATTATTACGGTGCGGACGTGGAGTGAATTCACATTTTCACATCGTTATAGTTTCACCAATTCATAGGATACCATTGTTAAATGTCATAAATCATGTTTTTGAAATCCTTCAATTCGCCATGCTGCTAAATACATGAAGACTCGAAATGAAAACAGAAGCTCAAGAGATGTGAAAAGGCTCATCTGTCTATCACATGGCGTGCGGCTAGCTTTTTATACCAAATTGGCTATCAAGCCGAAGTGGTCAACGAGCATTCGCTCAGAAAATCATGAAAGCGCCGGAGCTTGAGATAATCTTGATGTGAAATGTGCATGGGAATATGGGAAGGACGGTATCTTTTATTTTGGAAATTCGTTCTTTATAGCTTGTCATAGTACTATTGAAATGATCAGTCAAATGTTTTTTGCAAAGGGTTATGAAATAATGTAAACTTACGTTCTCGTAACCTGGAACCTCAACCTTGATACCCTTACGTTTACGGAGCTCTTGGACGATTTGTCCAGTCTTGGAGGTTGCATCAATTGGTGATCCACCTGGAAGAATTTGCCAATGATCGAAGATGGATTGTGGGAAGGCTTGACCGGAGGTGTGGGAACGGAGATCAGCGTTGAATCCGAAAGATTCACCGACTGGCAAGTATGCCTTAATGGTGAAAAGAGGAGTTCCTGGACGTTGCTCTTCAGCGAAGACGTGACCTCTTCTTCTGGTGAGAACACCGTAAACACCACCCATGGCAGATTCTGGTACTTGAATCTCGACCAAGAAGACTGGCTCGAGGAGACCTGGCTCAGCCAAGAGGGTAGAAGCGTACAAGACACGACGGGTAGTTGGCATGACTTGTCCGGAACCACGATGGATAGCATCAGCGTGGAGGGTAACATCCATGATGTTGAATCTGCAAGATCTCATTGGCTCTTCAGCAATTGGACCTTCTCTTGAAGCCCATTGGAAACCAGAGACGACGGAATCCTTGATTTCGTTCAAGTATTGAACAGCCTTGGTTTGATCAACCAACAAGTTGGCACCGTTGGTATCTGGACCGAAACACCAAATCTTACGGGCATCAGTGACATCCCATCCGTGCTCATCGGCCAAGATACGGGCACGAGCCTTGAAATCATCACGGGGACCGATCTTTCCGGCCTCGATCTCCTTGGAAACCTCCTCGTCGAGAGGCTCAGCGATCATGTAAAGACGGTTGTGCTTGTTAGGGGATTTGGAAAGAGCAGTCATGCTGGACTTGCCAGTGACGGTCTCACGGTATGGAACGACAGGGTCAGAGATACGGAGAGGAACACCAGCGTGGTCCTCCTCGAGATCCTTCAAGCAAATTTCCAAATGCAACTCACCGGCACCAGCAACAACGTGCTCACCGGATTCGGAGATGAAAGTCAAGACACAAGGATCGGACTTGGAGAGACGCTTGAGACCTTCGACAAGCTTGGGGAGATCTTGAGCGTTCTTGACCTCGACTGAACGTTGGACGACAGGGGAGACGGAGAACTTCATGACCTTCAAGTTGTGAGCGGTGTCACTGGTGGTGAGGGTACCAGACTTCAACAAGAATTGATCGATACCGACCAATCCGAGAATGTTACCGGCTGGAACATCGTCGATAGGGTCGACCTTACCACCCATCATGAGAACGACACGTTGGATGGCCTTGATGAACAAATCATCCTTCTTGCCAGGGGTGTAGTTAGGACCCTGGATACGGACCTTCAAACCGGAACGGACGGTACCAGCGAAGACACGACCGAAAGCGTAAAAACGTCCCTTATCAGATGTTGGTACCATCTTGGAGACGTACAACATAAGAGGAGCCTTAGGGTCACAGTCACGGATACCAATGCAGGCCTCATCATCTGGAGGACCCTCGTACAAGGTCTCAGCACGGTACTTTTGGGCGGTAACTGGGGATGGGAGATGGAGAATCAACATCTCCAAAAGAGCATCAGCAGCTGGCAAGAAAGTACGCATAATAACCTTGAGAAGTTGCTTGCCCTCCTTGTCCTTGTCATCTGGAGAAAGCTTGATGTTAAGCTTCTCGAGGAGAGTTGGGATCTCGTCCTTCTTGAAGTTCATGACAGCAGCGAAGATACGGAAAATTGGGTCGAGAATGAACTGGTTGAAAGCACGCTCCAACTCCTTACCCTCGTGAGAAGACTTGGTAGTCCACTTCTTGGTGTGTGGGTTGAAGTAGTTGTCGCCCCAGAGACGCTCCATCATCTTGTTTCTGTCAACACCGAATTTCTTGGCGTATCTTTGAGCGAATTGTCTGATGGTGAAAGCCCAGCCGTGGAGACCGGAACCGAAAGCAACCGTTCCCTTACCTGGGTAAACTTGGACATCACCCAAAGATTTGTCGAAGTAGGTAGAGATAACGACATTGACGGACTCGATGGTTCTCGAGAAAGATTGGTAAAGATCTTCCTTGGAGACTTGCAACTCGAGGAGAGCACGATCGACCTTGTTGATGATGACAACAGGCTTGATACGCTCACCAAGAGCTTGACGGAGGACGGTCTCAGTTTGCACACAGACACCTTCGATGGTATCGACGACAACGAGAGCACCATCAGTGACACGGAGAGCAGCAGTAACTTCAGAGGAGAAATCAACGTGACCAGGTGAATCGATCAAGTTGATCAAGAAATCTCTTCCGTCGGTCTTTTGGCCAACAATGTCCTTCAAGTCGTCATCGTCTGGGAGGTTACCGTAGAGGGAGATGGCAGTGGACTTGATGGTAATACCACGCTCTTGTTCATCGGCACGGGTATCAGTAGCTCTGGCATCACCAGCCTTTGCGGCGGAGATAATACCAGCCTTGGAGAGCAAGGAATCGGTAAGGGTAGATTTTCCGTGGTCGACGTGGGCAATGACGGACATGTTACGAACGTTCGTAGCCTTGTCCATCAATTGGCGGACCTCCTCAACGGTGAAGCTATCAAGAGAAGAATCGTTAGCAAACAGTTCATTGTCAAAAGCCTAAGCTTATCTCCGAATCCTCCATCTCGAGCTTATCATTTCAAGATCCTTCATCCATCAAAACAAGATGGTTAGAGATACTTTTGATGATTTGCGGTTTAATAGTTTCATCTATGTATCTGCCAAAGATGGTATGATGTTAAGAGAGAGGGAAAATAAGTACTCACTTAACCATGTTGGCGGTGGTGCTTCGAGAAGCTGATTAAAGAAGATTTATTGTTTTGACGTTCGACACACGCTCGAACGAATAGATACTTGAGTGGTTTATTGAACCACTTGAAGTATCGTAAATAGTTTGTAGATACCTGCTACAGACCCAAAAGTATTTGGGATAGAGAGATAATACAAAGAAAGATTTGGTGATACTTTCGATGTAGAATGAGAGGAAGAAGAAGAGGGGAAGAGAAGGAAGTCTTGTATAAAGGTGGGCAAGAATTTGGTAGGAAAAGATCTCGGGTGGGGCAAGTAAAAGTGGCGGGGTTCCAATTGTAATCTGGAAATTTTTCACTTAATTTTTTTGCACCGAGTTGGGTGGCTAGGCAACTATAATGCATGCCTTAAAAGGGTTAGTGCCCTAGTTGAGGTTTTGGAATGAGAATGAATTGCATCCGCCTACCAATTGTAAGCAGGATTGTAATTCAGATCATTTAACCGAGTGAATACGCTTACGGAGGTGTACGGTATGTAGCATTCTTTACCTTTATTATCATTGGTTCATTCTGTAATAAGTGTATTAGTAAAGGGTACATTATCATTTTGTGCAGTTCAGGTCACCGTATATGTGTCAGTATGATTGTATACCCTACGGAGTACTGTACTAGAAAAAAGCACTAGGTGTACTTTGGCATTTTCAAGTTTTAAATTCACCCTCCTCTTTTACTAGATATGCTCAATGTACTTGGTGGGGAGGAGGGGCTTACAAATTACAACGCACATTAACCACAACTCATTGTGATTTCCATATGAATCCATGATATTTATACAGACACTCCACTACATCTCATGATTTTTATCTACCTAGTATGTGACTGTATCAAAGAATTCATGATTTACCCACTCACTATTGGGTAGGTAATCAATAAACGTATGGTAGCTCATTCACCCGGTCAACATTTACCCCTCCTCTTGACTCACCGCCTTACCGGCATGACAAATCCGGTCTGCGTCAGAATTAAGGAATGGATTGAATTGATATAGAAATCAATGATTTTACAAATTTAGTAACATGCTATTCAATTACTAGTTAGTTTCAAAGCACCTAGTAAATTCAGTCATTATATAAACCCAAATACGAGTGAAGAGTAGGTTATGTATCAAAAACAATAAATTGAATATTATTAAGCTGCTATTAATAGTATAGACTCAGCGATCTACCCTAAGACCTCTAGTCTTCCATCAGAAAGTTCACCCCAACTCCATCGCTGCTATCTGTAAAGATCATGTGTGAAACTGACACATGAATAAGTGATTCGCAAAGTCGAAATGTACTCAAGAGGACCCTAAAATCTTTTCATAAGCATCCTCTACCTCCCCAGCCAATTCTAATAACGCTACAATCACTATTTGATGTGTGAGATTTGGAAGTCGATCTCGATGTAACCCAAAGAATTCCAAAGGTGGTGTTGCTTCACCCAGACTTTGAAGAAGAGGAGTCTCGATGACAGGGGGCTCAAGGGCTGTATATTCATATTTCGATAGAGGAACGTTGACCTCGGCCGTAATCTTTTGTTGCTCACCCTCTTTACTTTGTGGATCTTCTGCGTTTGGTACACCCGTGATTTTCAAGGCCGAGGGTGGTAGAGGCTTTCCTAGTCTTTGTGCTAATGCTTTTGTGTGTGTACCGTACATGCTACGAATGTAGCTGACACGGGAATAATTCCATCCAACCTCAACCTTCCCCTCAAAAGAGCTTTTGAATATGTAATCGATGTGGTTGGAACCAGGAATCTGCCAGGTTTGCATCGTGGCCTCGACCTGGGGGACTTTCAATATGGTACCACCACGAGATCCCGTGACACTATTGACCACATCTTCCACAGAAAGGTCGCTAACGGACTTTGGCGCCTCATCTTGCTTCACTCCAGCAAGTCCAATGCGAAGTTGACCGAGAGTGAGACCTAAAATACTATGAATCTTTCCCCGATCCATGGTTACGGCAAATCGTGCCTGTGCATTGAGTGCCTCGATTTTGAAGACTTGGTGGTCGGAGAATGTGCTTGGAAACGCCCCTATATTCAATGCTTTCAGTGTGACGATCACATCAGTGTGCAGTGATACAGGTGATTTCGACTTTTCTGGTTTCGGCTCCGTAACAGGTGTCTTGGGATTGGGTGAAATTGTCTGAGAGATCGATTTACGTTTAATGTATTTTTCAATTTCCGAAAGGGACGTTTCATAATTACTCTTCTTCTCTTGAGCGAGACGCAAGAATGCTTGGTATAAAGCGAGTGCTTGCGAGGCGGTCGTTGCCGTACAAAAAATTTGTACTGCTTCCCCATCTAAAATGGCAACGAGTCGATCTCCCTTCGCCTGCGTCCCATTACGAACATTATACATAAGGAATTCGAAAGATGTGATATCCGCAACCAAGAAGGCTTGATAATCAAATGCAGCCTTGACTCTTAATTGGCTGAAACCCAAAGAGCCTTGAACTAATGGCGTTTGATTCAATGCCTTCTCGCGTGCTGGCCATTGGATGGAGGTGCGTATTTTGAAATCCTGAAGCGCCACGAATCCACTCATTCTGCCTGAACTGTCAACACCAACTTTGTCAAAGCCGAGACACAGATTTTGCTCCCAGTCCGAATTCTTTTTGGATGAGATCCAGAAATTTGATATAATGAAAGCGGATTTGCCGATAGCTTGGCCGAGATCCAATTGAACGTCCAGCTCAGCAATAGAGACTGTAGCATTCCAAGGGAAAGCACCAGTTGCTGCAACTTGCTGGTATCTCTGTACGAGAAAGGTTGATGATTGTATATTATCAGTTGACGATACAGGAGCTGTAGAGCCTTCACGCAACTCTTGTGGAACCCAAATCTCCCTAAAGAGCAGGAAATCTTGTAATTGCTTGGCATTGATTAAGACTTTCATAGGACTAATTTTTAATATTGCAGACATTCCGCTGGTGCCACTCACATGCTTACTATTCATGAGAGATAGGAAAATTGATTCAACATCAAAGCTTCCTGTAGATTCCCTGGAATAAACATGTTGTACTGAAGCTTGCAGCCTTGAGAAAGCAACGGATGCAGCAAAGAAATGTCCATGCTCGGTAGATCGGACCGTGTTGATAGTCAAATAGATTTCGTCAAATCGCGCGCTAGCAGCAACACGAGCTATAGGTTGACAGCTAAGAGTGAACTCTTGCTTACAAATTCTAAGCCCTAGATTGAGGCGAGTGCGGCCAAGGACAGTACTGGGATCGGCTGCCAAAATGTTATCGTCATCGGAGCCCATGAATTTTTGTGGCGATGTTTTGGGCACCGACTTTTTGTCCTTGCCATCCTCGCTTACAATGTCTTTGACTGAGGAAGATATCTCTAAAATGAGAGGCACAACTGATGGATAGAGTATGTTTGTCGAAGCGTCCACTTTCACCTCAGCATTCAGAGACGGGTCATCAAGACCATTATCTGTATACTCTATTTTCCAAGCCAGGCCAGGCGCGCGTAAGACCGTGCTACTACCGGCGTCTTTATGCGTAAATTGCCCATATCTTCCAGCATGAGGCACGCGACTCGTTATGCCTGCTTGATTTGTCTGCGTAGTCTCTGCCAGTTTCCTTCCCGACAGATATACAACAGCTCCAGCAAAGTCCGCATCCACCAGTAAAGACTCCATACGTTTCTTCCCGAAGAAGGGCTGCCTTTTGTTGGAAGGCGTTGGTGGTATTAGTGTCGGTGGTGGGCTTGCACTCCATGTAGCTGACGCTACCCGTACCATTTCGGTAGCAGATCCAATTGATCGTTGAAGCTCAGCGGCAGGTATGATGAATTGAGAAGTCAGTCGCAAATCAAGGGATTTTCCTGCCGCTTGAAATGCTAACCTACGGGTATTTTGACCAGAAATATATCCAACATTGAAGATAACTTCTGGCAATAAAGCCGAGTTAAGCGAACGTTGGATTTTGTCATGTGATGAGGGTACCATTTGCAGTTGTAAGTCTTCAATGGTAAGTCGAGCAGAATTCTCCTTCCTTGTAGACAAACCAATACGTTTCAATGATAAAACCAGATTTTCCTTCTCAGAATGCGAGATGCGATCGTTTTCTGTATTGCCAACCAGCCAACTAACTTGGATATTGAGCAATTCCAGAGTGTACATCGAAGCAAACATAATGGTAGACGTTGAGCCAGTAATGCTATCATGATCTTTGGGCTCATCGTTGACTGTAATCCTTGGTCTGGAGTTACGAAGTTTCTTAAAATACTGTTTTTCTCTAGTGAAGTCGATGTCTTTGATTTTATTTTGCAAATGACCCATGACATCTACTACAGAAGATGCAGTTTCCGCGAAAAGGTTGATTTCAAGGCCATTGCTAGTGAGATTAAATGATCTAACATCGTCCCCTATTTCGTTCTTTTTGCTCGTGGCAGTCAAGAATGCAGCGAATGCAAGATTTCCGCAAGGTTCCATAGTCCCATTGTTGAGGCGAGACAATTCAAACATAATACGATGCAGACTTACATGAATCTCTGGAAATTCATATGTTGCCCCATGTGCCTCCAGCCTGTTTGCAACTAGAAGTTGCACGCATCCGACGTTGAACTCAAGTCTTGCCGTGGTTTTTCCCTCTCGCGACGGTTCCGCGTTTGCATAAACATCTAAACCTGCAAAGGTTAGGTGAGCATCGTATATAAGAGCAGGACCGGCTTTCGGTGGTGAATCCGGTACTGGACTGCTGCTAGAACCGAATATTTCCTCAATGTGTGCTTGTATTGCTTTGATATCGTCACGGATATCGGAAACGACACTAGATATTTCTGGTCGATTGAGTGCAGTCAAGAGACTATGGAGAGCAGTTGCATCAAGCTCTATGGGTTCCACAGAAGCAAAGACTGAAATCTTATTCTCTTCCACGGACATACTACTAACGATACGACCGTTTGTTGGTGGCATTTGCAACAACGAAATACTTTGCTTTTTATCATTTTGGGCTGTTTGCACATCGTGTGAGTGTTCTTTAATGTCAAAATCAAAGACAATTTCGGACCCAAATTGAGCTGCCAAGGAAGCCCTAGCAACAACACCTGAAATGGTATATGTCAACGATTGTATGAGAGGTATGCTGACTTGATACATATTTAGGAACAGTGCCAAATTAATCTTGTTGATGGGCTTTGATTCTTGAACACTTGATTGCAAGACATTCGGCGGCGATGCAGGTCGTTTGGCTGTAGGAAGCTTCTGTATCAAACGGTTCAGCTGCGCGACTTCATCCCCAATCACTAAGTCCAA